AAGAACAAGGTTTGTGACAGGATAACCGGAGACTTAAACTTATACTTAAACACATGTACAAAACACATTCCTGAGACAACAGCTGAGTGGCCTCTGTCGGACCTATCTTCGCCCTTTGAATCGCCTGGAAACAAGAACAGTAACAAAGATTCATCAGCTCTCCTCTCCTCTTCTCTCTTCTCATTTCCTCCACGGTGTACTTTAGGCAAACAACTTCTTTTCTTATTCTGTTTTTGCTATGTTGCAAGAAGCATGTCCACTAAAGATACTTGTTTTGTAGTCACGTGTAAGAACAAAGCTATATGTGGGGTAATTTCTCTATTGTGCATATTATTTTCTATCAGTGGCATGGCACGATCATTGTCCAGGGCCTGGGCGAGTACTCAAATAGTCTAGATCGAGAAAATAAAAAATAACTGATGGAAATTTCTCAGCTTTTGCAAAGCCTAAATTTCATTTCTACCTTTGAGATACATTTTGAAAAATTACCTTCAAACCTTTCAGATCATGACAGCTTTCAGCCTACGCAGCAGATGTCAGAGTTTTTGAGCCAGAGGAGATCAGAAATATTAAGGAAGCATGCGCGCACGAGGGAAGAAAAGGAGGGGTGGAGTCCTCTGTAAAACCAACCAAAAACCCCTAACTGACGCCTGCCAGACAGCCTAGACAGCTTTTATAGTAGTGATACAAACTAACTCAAGATCGATCATTTTCTTCTCCAGTTTTATTTTTTAATTTAAGCCATGATTACAAGCTGATCCTCTGAGATTGACGAGAGATGTTTTATTACTTGGTGCAAACAGCGCATGTCAGCTCTCGATGCAGAACATATGGAGGACACGGAAGTGAGCCACAGCCCCCTTCCACGAAGTATAGCAAGGCACCATCCTTGTTCCCATTAGTCCCCGCAACATACTCTGGGTCTTTGTCAACGCAGACGAAGTCTTTTTGGTTCCCGTGGTTGTAATATGCGGTCATCAGGTACCCATGATACTCCTGGGTCCATCCAGATGGACAGTCATTCCGTGCAGGCATCATCAGCAATGAAACACGTGATTTGACATAGCAGACAACGCAAGGCGCCTCATGGTCATGGAGATTTCGTCTGAAAGGATACCCACTGTAGGAACCAACCTCATATTCAGCACCGTACACATATCCTGAGAGCTGATTGCCGTCGTTATACCTGTCGTACTTTGGATTGTGTGGAAGAAAAGATAGTTTACTCCACCACCTTGGTGATTGTACCCTTCACCTCCCATTAAACCTGAGGATAACAAACTACAAGTTTACAAAGGTGCATCACTCTCCTATAAAGTGTACGCACAACAAATTTCACTTTCTTAGTGACTGACAGCACAATAGAGCAAACTGTTGTTACGACAAACTGGATTTATTGCACTCGAACTGTAACGTTAATAAATCTCTGAGATAAAAGGTAATTGCTAAAACTCTTATCATCTGTTTGCAGTGACCACCACCTTGGTGATGGTGAGCGTTACCTCCCATCAAACCTGAGGATGTTAAACTACATACTTTAACAGTCTTATAGGGAAACATCACTCCACCCTCAAATGACCTCACCACAAATTTCCCCTTAGTCTTGGTGACTGTCAGCACCGAAGAACAAAATATCGTCATAACAAACTGCATATCACATGTGGGTCCAAGTTGTCCAAAACAAATTATTGACTGCATTTACTGCACTCGAACTTTCACACTAATAAACCTCTATCAGATAAAAGGTAATTATTATTGAAACTTCTCTTCAATTTGCGATCAATAAATAAATAAATGTTCAAGATGTCACAAACTTATCGGGCATTTGGAGTGAAAGAGGGGAAGATTTGCACCTTTATAAAAAAGACTAGAAAGTAACAAATTATAGACATTTTATTATCTCAGCTGTAAAAGGTCCAGTTTTTCCAGTGAAATGCTGTTTCTGCAAACTTAAAATGTCACAGTAATGGTCTCTGTCACTAACTTTAAGGGAAAAAAAAGGAAATAACTTAGCACTGCTTTATTACACCAGTGTTGATTTACATAAAGTGTCTGTGTTGACGAACCTTTGTAAACTAGCTCAGCTCCTCTTGGACAAGTGGTCCTTCCCCAGCGAACATATTTCACTCCAGACTTCCCAGCTCCTTCCTTTCCCTTTTCGCCTTTGGTTCCTTGAGGCCCTTTCAAGCCAGGACTTCCAGCAGAACCTCTCTCTCCTTTAGGACCAGGAGGGCCTGGAAAAGGTCTGTTAACGCCCGGCTTACCAGCATCTCCTTTGAGTGGTAAGAAGTGCAACGTTGAAATTTTTTTGGAAAATGTCAAGTAAAGCAAATATAGCTCGATCTCGATAGACACTATGAAGACAACATTTCTTTTTTGCTCATTTTCTCTCTGTTAAAGAAGCAAAGTTAATTAGAGTAGAATACCTTTTGCCCCAGATTTGCCAGGTGGACCTTCCTTACCAGGAGGCCCAGCTTTCCCNCCACAAATTTCCCCTTAGTCTTGGTGACTGTCAGCACCGAAGAACAAAATATCGTCATAACAAACTGCATATCACATGTGGGTCCAAGTTGTCCAAAACAAATTATTGACTGCATTTACTGCACTCGAACTTTCACACTAATAAACCTCTATCAGATAAAAGGTAATTATTATTGAAACTTCTCTTCAATTTGCGATCAATAAATAAATAAATGTTCAAGATGTCACAAACTTATCGGGCATTTGGAGTGAAAGAGGGGAAGATTTGCACCTTTATAAAAAAGACTAGAAAGTAACAAATTATAGACATTTTATTATCTCAGCTGTAAAAGGTCCAGTTTTTCCAGTGAAATGCTGTTTCTGCAAACTTAAAATGTCACAGTAATGGTCTCTGTCACTAACTTTAAGGGAAAAAAAAGGAAATAACTTAGCACTGCTTTATTACACCAGTGTTGATTTACATAAAGTGTCTGTGTTGACGAACCTTTGTAAACTAGCTCAGCTCCTCTTGGACAAGTGGTCCTTCCCCAGCGAACATATTTCACTCCAGACTTCCCAGCTCCTTCCTTTCCCTTTTCGCCTTTGGTTCCTTGAGGCCCTTTCAAGCCAGGACTTCCAGCAGAACCTCTCTCTCCTTTAGGACCAGGAGGGCCTGGAAAAGGTCTGTTAACGCCCGGCTTACCAGCATCTCCTTTGAGTGGTAAGAAGTGCAACGTTGAAATTTTTTTGGAAAATGTCAAGTAAAGCAAATATAGCTCGATCTCGATAGACACTATGAAGACAACATTTCTTTTTTGCTCATTTTCTCTCTGTTAAAGAAGCAAAGTTAATTAGAGTAGAATACCTTTTGCCCCAGATTTGCCAGGTGGACCTTCCTTACCAGGAGGCCCAGCTTTCCCAGGAGACCCAACACCAGGTACTCCGGGGTTTCCTGGTATTCCTGGTTTTCCAGGTAATCCATCGCGGCCGTCACGTCCTGTAATGAAAGAAAATCCAAAGTTAATTTATTTACCACTCTCTCCTTTGGGACCAGGAGGGCCTGAAAACGTCCTGTTAACGCCCGGCTTACCAGCATCTCCTGTGAGAGGACAGAAATACACGGTTGAAGGATTCTTCCAGAAAAAGTACCAAATCAGTTTGTGCTCAGTTTCTCGCTGTTAAAGAAGGAAAAATTATCAAAGTTGAGTACCTTTTGCCCCAGATTTTCCAGGTGGACCGTCCTTACCAGGACGCCCAGCTTTCCCAGGAGACCCAACACCAGGCAATCCGGGGCTGCCTGGTAATCCTGGTGGACCTGTGGGACCATCCTTTCCATCGCGGCCGTCCCGCCCTGTAATGAATCAAAATTTGAAGTGAAGTTATTTACATGCGTGGAATAACTAAAGCAAGATAGTATTGAATCAAGTCTCAAGGAAATGATCATATCCCAGTTACCATTTTACGCTTTAAGGCCCTCAAAGAAAAGACTAGAAAGAATCCCGATTTTTTACGTTACATGTGAATTACAATACCTCGAGTTATGTAGGAATAGCGCTTTTGAACCATCAATTTGCTGGCAAAAAAATCCGACCGGTTTGTTAGCGCTCCGAGCCTGAAAGCAAAGAAGAAAGAAATATGACCTAACTTTCACTGAGTTGCTACAGCTGTACTTGGCTTTAATATGGCCTCCTAGCTTAGTAGCACCTCAAGAGCTTGCAGTCGCAAGCTATGACGATTCTACGCACAGAGCAATTTTTCATTACTAATTGGCCGGTATGGGCGGTCATAAAAGGCTAACTGTTAACATCATTTCGACAGAAAACTTTGGGGAAGCAGCGTTTTAGTTTAATTTTTTTTTCTTCCCTAGCTTGTATTTCACCTTCGTCTTTATAAATTCACTACAATACTTATTGACTACATCCATTCATTCTCTGTTAACATCATTTCGACAGAAAACTTTGGGGAAGCAGCGTTTTAGTTTAATTTTTTTTCTTCCCTAGCTTGTATTTCACCTTCGTCTTTATAAATTCACTACAATACTTATTGACTACATCCATTCATTCTCGAGTCTATTTTGCCAAAAATTAAGACACACTGACCTTCACGCACAAGTCTAACAACAGCAAAATAGCCATACCATTAAGAACCCATCCTCATGTCCGAGCTATTCTTTAATAACAGAAACTGACTGAAATCTAATACTGAGGTTAGGGAGCGTCTTTAAACTTATGATTATAATCTGATTTCATTTACAAATGTAACTCGCCTTTCTTCCACAGCCTTCAATCGCTTTTCAATGTCTGATTTCTGACCGGGAGTTGTGTTTGAAATTGCCCTCTTTGCTCTAGTGCCCAATGCAGAAGACACCGTTGCAGAGATGTTAGCAGTAGAGGCTTGTTTGCCTTCTCGACGCAGTTCCTCCAACGTAGAAATACGACGATCCATCTGAAGAATGACAACCACCAAAGCAGCGCACGTCGCAGCTAACACAACGCTCACAAGCAAGTGTGGGGACACTAGGTCAGACAAGCATTTCCCTTTAGGTTTCTTCTCAGATCGACCGTGATTCATCTCAAGACTTCCAAATTAAATCACCGTTTTCGCACGATAGGTAATTCTTCTGGTTGAGGGAACGAGGACTGTTCTGTAATTAATTTATCTACTACGATATCAAGAGCCTTGGGACACCGATAATTACTAGCAGAAAATTTTCGTGTTCGCAAAATTGCAAATTACCTTCCCTGTTTTACATTTTGTCCTTTGAAGGCTTCATAATAACGCTGTCAACGTCGACCTATTTTAATTCTTAACGCTTAGCCAAACTCGAGGTCGGGAAAGGAATAAAGTGTGCATTTTAGCAAATTTCAATTAACTAGCGTACGAGTTAGAATTAAAAACATCAAGACCCTCTGTCTTATAGGAAGTACTGTGTTATTGACGATTTCACCCCTTTCGTTTGCATACATTTAGACATCAAACAAATTTCATGACATTTGTTTGCCAATTTAATCTTTATAACATTGGGTCCTGAATAAATTTCGGTATCCACTCGACTGGAACAATTAATACAATAATCAAGCAGGGAAAGGAGAAACCTAGTGAAAAAATGCCGACACAAAGTGACTGCTGCACTACAAATAAGATCATCAGAAATGTAACTACATCAATTAAATACGATTTTTTTAAAAATGAAGGTCGCCTTCTTCGTTCTCTATATATAAATGACTACCAGGATAAAATTAAACGAACCAGAAATTATTCGCACGTTACTTCGCCGTATAAGTAGCCATCAAATCCTGCAAGCGCACTATGAAGGTATGTAAGCAGTTAGTAGTTGTAACTTGTTACAATGTACAACTGTAGTTACATTTGGCACAGCACTTTAACACTGCCAACTGAAATAAGAGAGGTCTTCAAACGGAGTTTGTTCGTAGTTCTTGGATCTGGGGCGCGGGGGTGACTTTGCCGATCTGTCCATGTTTAAGCTTAAACGAGTGTATTCACTCAAACATAACTAGGTTCCTTGCTTTTAGAGGATATCCCATTTCAGTTTTCCATCTCTTCCCGATGCATTATCACCTTTAGGAAGTTATGGATCTGGGACAAGGTATCTCACTAGAGTTACAGCGTGTGCGTCTAGGGAAAGATAGAGAAGTCAGTCTCAGACGCAAGTACAAAAACATTCCCTTGGTGGACCCCCTCGGACGGATCTTCACTGATCTACAAGCCTTCCTCTCTTAGGATCATTTTTCTCCTCGCCACTTTTGTTTTTCTCCCTTTGTCGTACCCAGCATCCTGTGTCAAAATAGCCCTGATATAAAATATAAATAAAAATTGGATGAAGGCCCTAACATTCTGCCTCTGCCGACAGTAACTGTAACAGCGTGTGCGTTACAGGTACATTATACTTAATACTTCTGAAGATGACTATTAAAAAAGTCTGACGAAAGAATTGAGATTTGATCGTGTAATTACTTTTCTGATTCACCTCCATACTTAAGTTAGTCTGTCTGTCTGTCTATCGGTCAGACAGTCACTCAGGCAGTCAGTCAGTCAGTCTGTCTGTCTGTCTGGAATTAAAGAAACTTGGCTCCGTGCTGAAATAAAGCGTGTGATTGTCTGTTTTTCTATCTGTCTGCGATGTCGACTACTGTGACGTTGTTTGGGTCAATTTAGATCAGGCTCTTGCCACTAAAATCCAGAAATTGCAAAATCGTGCTGCACGCATAACAATCTTACAGGTTACAATTTGCATTCAGCGGAATTAAGGAAACAAATTATCAAAACTGGACGTGATTACAGTGGGTCTGTTTTCAAGAGCAATCTCTATGATCACGATGCGCCTTGTGCTGTGTGCTTTGTCATGTCACGTGGCTCAACGCTGATGATCCCAGCACAGAATGACTGTCCATCTGGATGGACCGAGGAGTATTATGGGTACCTGATGACTGCATATTACTATCATGCGAACCAAAAGGATTACCTCTGTGTTGACAAAGACCAAGAGTATATTCATGACACTGAGTAATTCGGACCAGAATGGCGCCTTGCTGTACCACGTGGAAGGGAATTGTGGCTCTCTTCCATGTCTTCCCTATGTTCAGCATCGAGAGCTGACATGCCCTGTTTGCACCAGGTGAGAATAAGCTTTCCAGTAGGCTAGTGACATTCAAAAAACTCTACAGACTGATATTAAGCATCAAACGTATCATGTGAGAAATTATTTTTGTTGAAGGCTGGACTCTGTGGTGTAACGTTTGTTTTAACTTTTTAATTGGTTTTTTGCAAAAAAACTAACCAGAGCACAAAAATTTTGAAACAAAGATAGCAACTTTTTTGCTGTCTTCTTTTTGAAAAAAAAGAGACTTTTTTTGGTCCCTAAACGAGAACATTATTTACTGCAGTCGAACCTTTCCCTATAGACACCTCCGTAATACAGACACTGCCCCTTACGGATTTCCAAATTCAAAGAATCCCCACCACATCTGCAATACGAACTTACAGTCGTATTAGTCACAAAAATAACAAAATTCATACAATCTCTTTCTCTATGATAAAGGCACCACTCTAATAAGGATAGTTCTAATGGTCTCAAAGATACCATTCTTCAAACAGTCCCTAAAGCTATTTCTAAAACCAGTTACCTTCGTTGCGCAAGGTGGTAAGCTAGTTTGATCCGCCCCTTTGGTTTTCGTATTAAGGATTGCGTTTTGACTGCAGTTATTTTGTGGTACATGTAATTACAGAATGCATTGTTTGCGAAAAGACCTGTTATAACTTATGAGAATCCAGTTTTATGTACTTAAGCTGTTTAGACCATGTAAGACCATGTTAAGACAGTTAAAGACAGGGGAGGAGGAGGGCCGAAAGAGGAAACGTGCGAAAGGGAAAAGGGAAGGGAGCCTCACTCTTTCTCCCCAATTCGAGGGTCTCAACGGGGTGGTAGCTTCGACGGTTGACGGTTAAATTTTAGAGCTTTTGACGGTTATTAAGTGGAAATTTAGTCCAAGAATTTAAGTATATACAGTGGAACCTCGATATAACGAAGGGCATGGGAACTGGCAAAATTTGATCGCTATAAAACGGGGTTTCGTTATATCGAGGTTATTTTCCATTAGTAAAACCCAACGAGTGGTGATCAATGCTGCGTTCTGATTGGTTGAGCTATTACTAGGCTATATCTTATAGCCCACTAGTAGCGAAAAGCGCGGGCTTTTTGGCGGCAAAAAAGGATTAAAGTCTAGTTCAGCCCAAAAAGAATTTTTGACCTTGAAGGAAACACAACAGAACACGGATCAAAGAAACACCTACGCTATTGGTCTCTTTTGCAGCCAATGGCAAGTTAGTATTTTCGATCCTAGCCACCAGTATTTAAACAGTCTGCTTCGCTCTCTGTACCTAAGACTTTACCATAGTAGCAACTGACGAGGAACGCTATAGTTCCGAAACTGCAGTCTTGCTTAAGAATCCATAGCAGTCGCACAGACGACTGTTTAGCAAAAACTTAAGAAAATACCTACGAAGGAACAACAAAACATCGCGCTCTAGTTCAAAGACTCACTTATGTTAAGAAAAACTAAATGGACTGTGTGAGCGCTAAGAGAAATATCTTGACTGACGCACGGCATGTTTCTCCTAACTTGGTGTAGCTTTAGTTTTTAAGCTACAGTGTACAACTCATATCTGAAGATCGCACTATCCGTGGAAATTCAAAATCCTGCAAACCACACTATAGAGCTGGGCCCAGAGTCATATTGACATGGCAGGAAATAATCACATTCACGGACAAAGAAACTTGCATGCATGCATGTAGTTATTCAGATACAGTCATTTCGGAGAAAACCAAAAAAACTAAAATCTTTATTCAGCCGTAATAAACAGAGGTCAAAGGATATAAAACACTTTACAACTGCATCTGAAATCAAATCCTATCAGGGACACCTACCGAAGCATAAACCACAGGAAATGATTACTCAGTATGCATGTAACAAACCTGCTTCATGACCTCTAAATATAAGATTTAGTGCGGCAAAAACAAGATTTACTCAGTCAAAGTTTAGAATGCTACACCTCTTGCACTGTGTAGTGCTAGTAACCTTCGCGCGAGAGAAAAAAGAAAGAGAACCACTGTTCAAGCAGACTCTCAAGGTCACGTTTCACATTATCACGAGCTTATGAGTCGTATTTGGCCTGTCAACGCCTATTTCTTACCGAGCTTATGAGTCGTGTTTGGCCTGTCAACGCCTATTTCTTACTGTGATATTTTTAGACAGTGCTCCGTCATAACTCGTGGGAAGAAATCTCACTCGGGCTACTGATTTTGCCGGAGAAAGTTACGAGGAAATATCTCGAATCTCCTGAGAAAGACACTTACACGTACTACGACATGTCAGTGACCTGGTATCACTGCAACCTAGTCAGATACTATCATACCGGTTCAGCCCAAAAAGAATTTTTGACCTTGAAGGAAACACAACAGAACACGGATCAAAGAAACACCTACGCTATTGGTCACTTTTGCAGCCAATGGCAAGTTAGTATTTTCGATCCTAGCCACCAGTATTTAAACAGTCTGCTTCGCTCTCTGTACCTAAGACTTTACCATAGTAGCAACTGACGAGGAACGCTATAGTTCCGAAACTGCAGTCTTGCTTAAGAATCCATAGCAGTCGCACAGACGACTGTTTAGCAAAAACTTAAGAAAATACCTACGAAGGAACAACAAAACATCGCGCTCTAGTTCAAAGACTCACTTATGTTAAGAAAAACTAAATGGACTGTGTGAGCGCTAAGAGAAATATCTTGACTGACGCACGGCATGTTTCTCCTAACTTGGTGTAGCTTTAGTTTTTAAGCTACAGTGTACAACTCATATCTGAAGATCGCACTATCCGTGGAAATTCAAAATCCTGCAAACCACACTATAGAGCTGGGCCCAGAGTCATATTGACATGGCAGGAAATAATCACATTCACGGACAAAGAAACTTGCATGCATGCATGTAGTTATTCAGATACAGTCATTTCGGAGAAAACCAAAAAAAACTAAAATCTTTATTCAGCCGTAATAAACAGAGGTCAAAGGATATAAAACACTTTACAACTGCATCTGAAATCAAATCCTATCAGGGACACCTACCGAAGCATAAACCACAGGAAATGATTACTCAGTATGCATGTAACAAACCTGCTTCATGACCTCTAAATATAAGGTTTAGTGCGGCAAAAACAAGATTTACTCAGTCAAAGTTTAGAATGCTACACCTCTTGCACTGTGTAGTGCTAGTAACCTTCGTGCGAGAGAAAAACGAAAGAGAACCACTGTTCAAGCAGACTCTCAAGGTCACGTTTCACATTATCACGAGCTTATGAATCGTGTTTAGCCTGTCAACGCCTATTTCTTACAGGAATAATTATTAATTACTATTACAGGGGTAAAGAAAATCGTTCGTTATACGGAGGACTTCGTTATACAGAGGTTCGTTATATCGAGGTTTCACTGTATTTATTTCTGTATAAATCAATAGTAACTTTTGGGTCTTGAAGGTTTTCTTGGCCTTTCGCTTTTACGATTTGGAAATATTTTCAACTATAAGCAAACTGTAAAGTCTTGTAATGTCTATCTACAGAGTGTGTTTTTGACAACATGGGAATTTTTTCAGATATATAAGAAAGTTGTAAAGTCTTGTAATGTCTAGAGAGTGTATTTTTTTGACACATGCCAAACTGGCCAGCTCAGAGATTCTTCAGGAGTCCAAAGCTACAGACCTTAAAGATCGGTTGATGCTAGAATATAACTTTTTTTGACGGTTGAAGTTTAACTTTTGGGCCGTTTGACTGCTGACGCTAATCATCCCATTGGGACCCTCCAATTCCCCTCCCTTTTCCCTTAAATTCCTTCCAATACCCTACCCCTTTCGACGCCTGCTACTACGCAGACTACCAGTACTCACAATTGTCACAGAATGTGTCTGTCAATTTAATGAGCTAGTCTCACTGTTAGTTCCTCTTGCTGTCAACAACAGGTACCTAGATTCTAGATCAAAAATGAAATGTCGTTTTCAAGCCCGGGGGGAGGGGGGTACTGCCATATATGGGCTATATAGGTATGTGCCGCTGTAAAGGGTATGGTTTTCAAGCAGTTTACTCTAGGATAGGGTATATAAATCAGAGCTTTTGGGTCAGAATAGGGTATCATTCTTCAGGAAACCGATCAGTTGGTTGAAGATTTTATCTAGACAAGGGAAACAGCTACTCTAGGATTGGGGCGATTTGGGGAGTTTACTCTAGTATAGGGTAGCAAAATTCAGCTGAACTAGCTCTGGTATAGGCTGAGGGTTCCAGGGTCCCAGCTGCGCATCCCCACTCAGAAATTCCCCCCCCCCCCCCAGGGGTTTTAAGCGACTTCAAATTAAGTAGCCTTATTGGGTAATTGTGTTGTTCTGTATATTTCCATCACCACTAGCAACAAAACAAGATCAAAGTATTATTGAGAAATTGCGTTACCACAGTCGTCAGGTCCTTGTGTTTTGGATTTCACGATGTGGCTTTTTTGATATCCTTTCTTAACTATCCTAATTTTTGTACATTTCTACAGTTTTCTAAAAAATCTGATGCTTATGGGCTCTTGAGGCATGTTGACCTCAATTGTTAGTAAAATCGCTACCAACTCAGAACTCTGAATAACTTGTACTTCCTACTGATTAACTTTCAAAGTCCAGATTCCCCAGCCAATACACTAAGCTATAACCTGCCACGAGCCGAGTAATCGACTCCTGAACCTGCTCTAGTTTCCGAAAATACAAGACGTTTTTGGCTGTTCTGTTCTGTTCTCCATGAAGAGGCGCTACATACCACACCTGGCCAGTAAGAATGTCCTATACAGGAAACTACGTCCTGAGGAATTTTTGCCAACCCCAACTGAGGAGCAAAAATGGTAATAAAAATGAAGCAGATTGTCTCCATTCATGGTTTAGAAATGAGAACTGATCTATAACAAGAGAGAATAGTTTATCTACTACATAGTCAAGGGCCTTGGGACACTGATAAACGGCAGCAGAAAATTTTCGTGTTCGCACAATTGCACAATGACCTTTCCAGTTTTGAATTTGTCCATTAAAGGCTTCATAACAACGTATTCGGCATAACTGCTATAAGCCATTTAGTCAGAAACTAGGAGAAGGAAATGACTCCTATGTCAATACAGTAGGAACCTCCCGTAAGCGACCACCCAAAATGCAAAGACTGAGTGGTCGCTTACAAGAATCGAACCAGAGGGGATCTTCCGAGAAGAGTAGGCCTTTCCCGATTGTGCTCGGCAACTTTTGAGCAACTTTTTGCGGTTCTAGCAACCGCGAGCAAATTTTGAGCAAAATATAGGTTTCAAGCACATATCAAGTACGAAAAAGTCATCGATTTCATAGAAAACTTCAATTTTTTTATTTTTTATTTTTAAAATCTATTGTAAATTTATTTTTATTTTTTAACTTTTTTTGATTTTTTTTTAAATTTTTTTTAACTTTTTTTTGTTGATCGATGTTAGTAATTATTGTGAAGAACGAAAAATGAAGCTTTTAATTAACGTTAATATAAAAATATCAAGAAATTTAGAGGGCAACTTTTGAAATTTATAAGGTAGCAACGTTTTGGATTTTTGGCAATTTTTTAGCAACTTTTTGGCATTCCAGTGACCAACTTTCCAGCATTTTACGAGCACAATAGGGAAAGGCCTAGAGAAGAGGTCCAGATACATCCACTTTATGAAAGATACTTATTGTATGCAATATCTAAGTTACGCCTTGTGTAGTTCCATGTTGTCACTTAAGTTCTTGGTATATTCTTAGCAGCAAAGTGTACACAGCGAACAAAGAGATCAGAGAATGCGTCAAGTGGTCGCTAACAAGAGGTTAAAAACAATGGAAAATCATTAACCATCAGGCCCAAAAGGTGGTCGCGGTCGCTTACAGAAGGTGGTCGTTCACTGGAGGTTCCAACTGTGACGCTTTGACTGGGAAAATTTTGGTGTTTTGAATTGGCGGTCACTTATGGGTGGTGTTCGCTTACGAGAGATGGTCGCACATGGAGGGTCAACTGTATAACATTGACCCTGAAAAATTTTATCTTTGTCTCCCTAACAGCTGTAGTGATTATTTTCCTGCATTTTTGTTAATGGTGACGTAGAGTCCTCAAACTTGGGAGGTACATACTGCCCCTGAAAACTGCAGTCGAGCCACCTTAAATGAACTAGGTTCCATGCTTTGGGGGTTATACGGATTTCAGTCTTTCTTCTCTTTTGAAAGTGTTATCGCCTTTAGGAATTCTTGAATAAAGAACAAGGTTTGTGACAGGATAACCGAAGACTTAAACTTATACTTAAACACATGTACAAAACACATTCCTGAGACAACAGCTGAGTGGCCTCTGTCGGACCTATCTTCGCCCTTTGAATCGCCTGGAAACAAGAACAGTAACAAAGATTCATCAGCTCTCCTCTCCTCTTCTCTCTTCTCATTTCCTCCACGGTGTACTTTAGGCAAACAACTTTTTTTCTTATTCTGTTTTTGCTATGTTGCAAGAAGCATGTCCACTAAAGATACTTGTTTTGTAGTCACGTGTAAGAACAAAGCTATATATGGGGTAATTTCTCTATTGTGCATATTATTTTCTATCAGTGGCATAGCACGATCATTGTCCAGGGCCTGGGCGAGTACTCAAATAGTCTAGATCGAGAAAATAAAAAATAACTGATGGAAATTTCTCAGCTTTTGCAAAGCCTAAATTTCATTTCTACCTTTGAGATACATTCAAACCTTTCAGATCATGACAGCTTTCAGCCTGCGCAGCAGATGTCAGAGTTTTTGAGCCAGAGGAGATCAGAAATATTAAGGAAGCATGCGCGCACGGGGGAAGAAAAGAAGGGGTGGAGTCCTCTATAAAATCAACCAAAAACCCCTAACTAACGCCTGCCAGACAGCCTAGACAGCTTTTATAGAAGTGATACAAACTGACTCAAGATCGATCATTTTCTTCTCCAGTTTTATTTTTTGATTTAAGCCATGATTACAAGCTGATTCTCTGAGATTGACGAGAGATGTTTTATTACTTGGTGCAAACAGCACATGTCAGCTCTCGATGCACAACATATGGAGGGCACGGAAGTGAGCTACAGCCCCCTTCCACGAAGTATAGCAAGCCACCATCCTTGTCTCCACTGGTCCCTGGAATATACTCTGGGTCTTTGTCAACACAGACGAAGTCTTTTTGGTTCGGGTGGTTGTACTTTTCAGTCATCAGGTACCCATGATACTCCTCGGTCCATCCAGTAGGACAGTCATTCCGTGCGGGCATCATCAGCATTGAACCACGTGACTTGACGAAGCAGACAACACAAGGCGCCTCGTGATCATGAAGATTTCGTCTGAAAGGATACCCACTGTAGGAGCTGACCTCATATTCAACACCGTACACATATCCTGAGTACTGATTGCCGTCGTTATACCTGTCGTACTTTGGATTGTGTGGAAGACAAAGATAGTTTACTCCACCACCTTGGTGACCGTACCATTCACCTCCCATTAAACCTGAGGATGACAAACAACAAGTTTGCAAAGGTACATCACTCTCCTATAAAGTGAACGCACAACAAATTTCACTTTCTTAGTAATTGACAGTACAATAGGGCAAACTAGTGTTACAACAAACTTGATTTACTGCACTACAACTGAAATACTAATAAATCTCTGAGATAAAAGGTAATTGCTGAATCTCTAGCTTGTGATCGGTTTGCAATGACTCAAAATAAACAATGAATTAATAATAAATTAAGTAAATAAGTAAATGTTCAATATGTCGAAAAGTCCTCCGTTTGCCAAGTATTTAAAGTGCAAACTGTAAACTTAAAACAGAGAAGGTCCCTATAACTATCCTTGTGAAAAAGATACTGACTGGAGACCTTTGAAATTTGACCTTGACAATAACTTAAATCTACTTTATTACATCAGTTTCTAAAACCCTTTAGTAGTAGCTAGAATGCAGTCTCAGTTAACAGGTGTCTGTGATGACCTACCTTTGTAAACTAGCTCAGCACCTCCTGGACAAGTGGTCCTTCCCCAACGGACATATTTCACTCCAGACTTCCCAGCTCCTTCCTTTCCCTTTTCACCTTTGGGTCCTTGAGGCCCTTTCAACCCAGGACTTCCAGCAGAACCTCTCTCTCCTTTGGGACCGGGAGGGCCTGGAAAAGGTTTGTTAATACCCGATCTTGAGGCATGTTGACCTCAATTGTTAGTAAAATCGCTACCAACTCAGAACTCTGAATAACTTGTACTTCCTACTGATTAACTTTCAAAGTCCAGATTCCCCAGCCAATACACTAAGCTATAACCTGCCACGAGCCGAGTAATCGACTCCTGAACCTGCTCTAGTTTCCGAAAATACAAGACGTTTTTGGCTGTTCTGTTCTGTTCTCCATGAAGAGGCGCTACATACCACACCTGGCCAGTAAGAATGTCCTATACAGGAAACTACGTCCTGAGGAATTTTTGCCAACCCCAACTGAGGAGCAAAAATGGTAATAAAAATGAAGCAGATTGTCTCCATTCATGGTTTAGAAATGAGAACTGATCTATAACAAGAGAGAATAGTTTATCTACTACATAGTCAAGGGCCTTGGGACACTGATAAACGGCAGCAGAAAATTTTCGTGTTCGCACAATTGCACAATGACCTTTCCAGTTTTGAATTTGTCCATTAAAGGCTTCATAACAACGTATTCGGCATAACTGCTATAAGCCATTTAGTCAGAAACTAGGAGAAGGAAATGACTCCTATGTCAATACAGTAGGAACCTCCCGTAAGCGACCACCCAAAATGCAAAGACTGAGTGGTCGCTTACAAGAATCGAACCAGAGGGGATCTTCCGAGAAGAGTAGGCCTTTCCCGATTGTGCTCGGCAACTTTTGAGCAACTTTTTGCGGTTCTAGCAACCGCGAGCAAATTTTGAGCAAAATATAGGTTTCAAGCACATATCAAGTACGAAAAAGTCATCGATTTCATAGAAAACTTCAATTTTTTTATTTTTTATTTTTAAAATCTATTGTAAATTTATTTTTATTTTTTAACTTTTTTTGATTTTTTTTTAAATTTTTTTTAACTTTTTTTTGTTGATCGATGTTAGTAATTATTGTGAAGAACGAAAAATGAAGCTTTTAATTAACGTTAATATAAAAATATCAAGAAATTTAGAGGGCAACTTTTGAAATTTATAAGGTAGCAACGTTTTGGATTTTTGGCAATTTTTTAGCAACTTTTTGGCATTCCAGTGACCAACTTTCCAGCATTTTACGAGCACAATAGGGAAAGGCCTAGAGAAGAGGTCCAGATACATCCACTTTATGAAAGATACTTATTGTATGCAATATCTAAGTTACGCCTTGTGTAGTTCCATGTTGTCACTTAAGTTCTTGGTATATTCTTAGCAGCAAAGTGTACACAGCGAACAAAGAGATCAGAGAATGCGTCAAGTGGTCGCTAACAAGAGGTTAAAAACAATGGAAAATCATTAACCATCAGGCCCAAAAGGTGGTCGCGGTCGCTTACAGAAGGTGGTCGTTCACTGGAGGTTCCAACTGTGACGCTTTGACTGGGAAAATTTTGGTGTTTTGAATTGGCGGTCACTTATGGGTGGTGTTCGCTTACGAGAGATGGTCGCACATGGAGGGTCAACTGTATAACATTGACCCTGAAAAATTTTATCTTTGTCTCCCTAACAGCTGTAGTGATTATTTTCCTGCATTTTTGTTAATGGTGACGTAGAGTCCTCAAACTTGGGAGGTACATACTGCCCCTGAAAACTGCAGTCGAGCCACCTTAAATGAACTAGGTTCCATGCTTTGGGGGTTATACGGATTTCAGTCTTTCTTCTCTTTTGAAAGTGTTATCGCCTTTAGGAATTCTTGAATAAAGAACAAGGTTTGTGACAGGATAACCGAAGACTTAAACTTATACTTAAACACATGTACAAAACACATTCCTGAGACAACAGCTGAGTGGCCTCTGTCGGACCTATCTTCGCCCTTTGAATCGCCTGGAAACAAGAACAGTAACAAAGATTCATCAGCTC